TATATATATATAGGTATTATTTATTATGTAAATAAAGAAAAATTGTATCAAATAGTGTATAAAAAAATCCAAATAATGTATAATGAGTGTTAAAAGTATATATGTATTGATTATTACTATTATAACTGCTAAAAAGTCCTACCAAACTCCTAAAACTTAGTTATAGAAAAACATTGTAACTTATTTCAAAATAATTAATTTTATTTTTTATCCTAAAAATAAAATAAACATTCACTATGATATAAATATATTTATAACATTTTTCCATTGTTTTTCTTTTATGAAACGCATCACCTTAAAAGAAATATATTGTACTAGGAGTGTAATTAACATAAGGTACTAGAGTTAGTTTCTAAGCCTTCGGAGAAAAATAAAAGTTCCTAAGCCCCAAAATTTATAAAGAGAAGTAGTAAATTTAATGAGCCATAATAATATTTAAGTTCTCCGATCAAGTAAATAACACATTATTTTCTTTTCATTCCCTTTTATTTATTCACATTGAAGTTAGCATGCTCTTTAAAAATACGGACATGAATATTTTATCACGATTTTTATATTAATTGATGTTTAATTTTAGATTCTGATAAATCATTCGGAGAATAAGTAATAAATGTTAATGGTAAAATATATAAAAAAATGTTTTTTGGTAAAAATGACAAATAAAAATAAATATACATTTTTTAATATTGTTGACTTATAAAAATAATATTATTTAAAATAATATCATCTTTAACTTGGTAGTTGGGCTTTTTAAAACCCCCTTACCTACAAATGACAGATAAAACAAAGACAACCTATCCTTGTCAAATCTCTTTAAACTCAATCAACTATATGTATGAAAATAAAAGCTACTTCATCCGTTTTAAAATAAGTGAATTATTGAGCCTTTTTATAGTTCAAAATAAGTGAATTGTTCAAAATTTAAAGAGTTGTTCAATTATTTTTCTATTTTTGCCCCTCATTTACATCTTCTAGGTAATAATTTCAAGAGAGTTAATTGCTCATATTTATGATTTTACTTTAAATTATTTATATTTTTAAAAATAGTTTGACAATATCTAAAATGCACAAGTGGAAAATGACGTTTATTTTATGTCCTAAATTTTTTTTTTAATGAATGTGCATTGACTCAACAATTCAATTATTTTGAAATGGATGGAGTAATATAAAGTGAGAAAGAAAAATTCAAAACCAAAAGGAATCCCTAAAGTGAAAAAGGAGTTCTAACTTCACAAACATTAATTTCTTTGAAAAATATGGTAAAATTGAATATTTGACCATTTTAAATTCTTTCTTGCTGCTTTTTTCATTAAAGGCTAATATTAGCTAAAATTTGGTAAAAGGTCAGTTGTTTTCTTCCTTTTAACCTTTAATTAGGAGAGAAATGAAGACGTGGTGGTGAGAAAAACACTTCGAAGAAAGTTTTTTGCTAAGTTTATAAGTTAATTTGGCTTATAAATACTTTTTTTTGGATTATCTACCTATTTAGTTATAGCAAATAAATTTCATGTCAAGAAAATAATTTGGTGGTATAGCAGTATATAATTTGGGTGTTTTTATTTCTGAGATATTTGCTCCATTCATTTTTATTTGTTATATTTGAATTTGATACAATCATTAAGAACATAATGATCATTGACATGACTATTTTATCACACCATCCTTATTAATTGATATTTAATATTATGTCTTGAAAAATGATTTAAGAAATAAGTAATTAGTTGAGAATAAATTATTGATTAAACCTTTAAATCATACATCCATCTTCTAGAGAGAAGTATTGAAAATATCCGTGAACTTCCTGCAAATTGTTAGTTTTGTCCCCTGACTATTGACTGCTTTAACAACACCCCTCTACTTGACTAACTAAATTTAGATACACCCCCCGATATGCAAGATGACATAGCAAGTGCCAAGTTGTGTCAAACTCTTGTAGGAACATGAAATTCTTAATAAAAAGCCAAATTAAGTGTTGAAAACACCCTAACTTGGCGAGAATTCAGGACTGTATTTCACTAATCAAAGGTTCATTTAAGTTTAATTAGTCAAGTAAAATAATATCTTTAAGACTGTCAATAGTTCTAAAATGAAACTAATAATTTGCTCCAAATTAGAATATTTTTGATACTTCTCTATTTAACCTAACTAAAAATCTTACAACCTGACCATTGAGCTTATATTGGGACATCAAATATTGAAATTTAAATATCGAGGGGCCTCTTCGACCCATATGTATAGTTATTTTGAAAAATTAATTAATCAAGCATTAATTGTAAAGGTCAATGCCAATATTGATGACAAGAATAAACATTGAGGTATGTAAACATTATTCTGCAATTCTCTACTTCAATTCCATTAATTAGCTATACATTAAAATAAAATATGATGATCAGAATTGGTAGTTGAGTTCAAGTTATTGCTCCATTATGTTGATATCCAGATCTTTGTTAAAGTCATATCCTTTTCCAACTATTTGAGTTGTTTTTTTTATTTGGTGTCCGATATGGCGATATTCGTATTAGAATTTGATTATATTTGGATTCGTACCGCATAGGGTCTATTTGAGAGGAAGTATTCCTTATCAAGAATTTTTCATACTCAGAGCTTGAACTCAAGACATTTAATTAAGAATAGAGAGCCTCATCTACTGCACTACATTCTTTTGGTGTATTTGGATCGAAGTTACTTGATTGATGGATTACTTTTAGAATTTTACATATATAACAAAATTATAGTTAGTTTCATAATTTAAAAATAAAAATAGTTAGTTTCATAATTGAAATTTGAAGAATGTCTAGGTGGTATGTGCGTAATTTTGTTCTTTTCATGTGAAGGTAAAAAAACTTTTTAATAATTTCGAAATTGAAAAACATATAGCGGACGATATGAAAAAGAAATACGATAATGAACAAATCAAAAGTAAAAAAAATTACATATCCTAAACAAAATAGTGGTGCCAAATTGAGGACACCATGGTGGACCCTCTTTACTTTTAATTCACTTTTTCCATTTTGTCAATTTACTTTTGATTGCCCATAAGCTATTTAAATACGATTTATGTTTTTAACATTATACATTTATATTGTAAAAAATATTTTTATAATTTATTTATTTATAAGATAATTATAAATATTTTTTATGATAAGAAAAACTAAAAAAATAGTAACTAATTAACATGATATAATAGGTAAAAATTATATTACTAAATTTAAAATACATATATACATATCTAACTTAAATTCAATCATACATTTTATCGATACACTTTTATTAAAAAAATTAAATTGAAAAGAGTACAAAAAGATGTCCAGTCAATGGAGCTCATATTTTTATTCTCAATCATTGTATAGCAATTAGTGATAGTGCTTATCTTGATAAAAAAAAAGTTTATTTATTCAAATTGAATGACATCATGTAGTTTTTTTTTTTTTTTTTTTTTTTTTCACTTTGTCCAAAAATATCTTTCTTTATCAACTTGATGAAGTGTTGTCTACAATTAATTTGCCAGGTTTGGTGGGGTCGTGGTACCTACTAAAAATTAAGATGGGGTTGCCTTTACACGTTAGAATATAGTTTACGAGATCTGTCGAAACTCAGTAGTTTAATTTGGTTCAAATTATATATATATTCAATAGCTTTTACATTTTGCCAATTCTATGAGAACCATTTGATATTCATTTTTATGAATTTTTCTTCACATAGGACTGTCATTCCCTAGTTAAGTCTTTTTAACTTGGCCTCTGATCAGAGGTCTCGAGTTTGAACCTTAGATATAAATTTATTTTTGGTAGGAAGCGTTTTCCCCCCGAATGGGCCCCTATGCACCACAAATCTAAATTACTCGGATTTCAATATGGATATCGGACACCAGATAGGAAAACCTCATAAACCTTCGACTTTCCTGCAGCTTAGATAAACAAATATATATAGCAAATTGTAATAGATAGTAGACACAAAAGTTTTTATACTAGTTCAGATCACGGACGTAATGCCTAGGTAGTCCAGTCCCCTTGGATTACGACGATTTTTTTCTTTAGAGCTTTGAATGAATCTTGGTTATACAGT